ATCTCCTTTCCTGATTTTAGGATGTAAACAGGCCAGGGAAGAGGTGCTGCTGGGCTCCATTCTTCGTCATGCCTATCATGTCATTTTCAACTTGACAGCAAATCTGCTTATTGTCACTACCATGACAGATGCGGATGAAGATGTAAAAAAAAAAAAAAAACTTATAATAAATAATTATCGATAAAACGTGTAATCCAAGTACATCACTATCTACGGTTTTGAAAAATAAAGTGCTAATTTAATTTTTTAATACAACAATGGGCTTCCTTTAGCTATAAATTTTATGTGGCCTCCTTCCAAACTTTTCTATCCAGAGTTAATTCCTCTTGCAAACTATTTACCACAATAGTCTCTATTTGCTTATTCCACGTTCTTCTGGGCCACGTTCTTACTTCTTCCGCCAATATTCCAAAAGTAAACCTATCTTGGCGATTTCCTTTCAGGCTAAGTAGTTCTAAATGACAGCGGCTGACAGTGAATAAGCGTCGGTATTCCTACTGTAACAGTGGAGACGGAGTGGACAACAATACTGACATTGCTAAAGAGAGGGCGCTGCGGAAGGGTACCATTAGGCCCATCGGGCTCCGGAACCGTGCCAAGGACTGCCCGGGAAAGCTGCCTTCCTGATGGCCCGCTGCCATCCACTGTGGTCTCCGTCTTCTTGGAGTAGGATACTCAGAACAGAACAAATATATATGTAAAACTATAAGCAATCGAATAAAAACAAAAATAGGGTAAGCGCACTAGTGATGGACGTGGACAAGAAATTATTTTGGCTTGTGCCGCCGTAATTATTATATTTATAAAGTTCTCCGTCGGATACTCTCCATTTTCTATTTAGCATTTTAAAATTGAAAAAAAAAATTCTGTTATGCAGGTTTTATCCCCATTAAAAAAACAACACCTTTTTGCACTAGTGATGAACACATCAAATTTCAATTGCTCTAGTAATTGACAGGGAGTCGATATCAGTAATGGACATACCTCAGAAAAATTCTAAATTTTTATTAAACTACAAAGATAACGATAGGGACAAGATAACATAAATGCTCAAGTTACACCTAGCAAAACTATTAGGAGGAAGGTATAAAATACACTGATCTCAAGAGTACTATAGAAACAACTATGATAAGCATTCAACTGTAGCGGATCCATTTGAAGGTAGTGGAATACATTAAATCAAGTCCAGCGTAAAAAGAAAACCTAAAAAAGAGAACTTTCTAACTTTCTTGGTCTAGATGAGAGAAATATTTTAATCGAGTCTGGGTTTCTATGTGTAGTTTACAACGTAACTATGGTTCGAATTTCCTTGAACTTATTATTACTTGAGCGTGATTACCTCTCAAAGGCGTGGACACTTTTTATTCTGTTTTTTTTTTAAATATATTTAAGAGTTAGAATTTTGGCTCCCGATGTATGCGTACCAAATACGACATTATACGCCTTAATTTCGTTAAAGGAAACGAAATGGCTTCTAAATCAGCAAACGAAGCTCTTACCTTTCCATGCCGCGGTAAAGCTACCTTGACAGCGTCCGAGGTCGCGCGACTGCTTAGAGAAATGATATTGTAAGAATGGCAAATACTGGGAGACAACAGCATAACCAACAAACTGAAGGCGAAAAAGAATGAGGTGCAACCGTGGAGCTGCTCCAGACGCAGCTGTCCCAGAAAAGAAGTCGTCCTCACGCGGCTGAGGATCGGTCATAACCAGATTGACGGGTATACTTCCGCCTTATAACAAAAGATTCCATTCCCAGGTTTCAAAAATGTGACAAGATATTAACTATGAAAGAGTGTCCGTTTTACATCAGAAGGTTAAAAGCATTTGGAATACCCCTGAATATGTCAGCTTCCCTGGGAAGTCATGAGGAAAAAGTGGCTAAAGTTATGAATTGCATATATAAAGAAAATCTTCTAAAGTATTATTAAAAAGTTTATAACTAATAATCCTCTGCCGAGCCTTTATTTTTACAGATATTCTTTTTATTTTATTTTTTTTTAAACCTCCAACCAAAATTTTGTTGATCGGGCGCTGATGACCTGGATGTTGGATGCTAAACATCAAAAACCTAACCAACCAAACTTCTAAATTGCCGAAAAAACTTCATCATTTGAAAGAAAAGTGAAAAAATAAATTGCAAATCAGAGCATTATCAATAAAGATACGGAGTTGTGAACTTTGTACCTATGGAAAATTATCTTATAAATGGTTCCATGATTTTTAATAACTACTTAACTATATATCTCCAAATATATTCAAGATGTTCATTTTAAAGATTATTAATTTTCCTACAGAATAGAAAATGATCTTGTTTCTATTGCAAAGCTTCCTGAATAGGATCCAGGATAGGGAGTTCCAGGCCACTGCGAACTAATGATGGCTTTAATTCGATACTCTTTTTAGTCGTCACAATCAAAAAGCTTCTAATCTCATCTGCATACATATGAACTTGTTTGGAACCTAATACTTCTATAAATGAATTAAGAATAAATTTCTAGTAAAAATATTCTTATTAAATAAGTCTACCTAAACATTTGAAAATGAAATGAGTTTAACAACGTCTTAAAATTGGACCATTTTATGCCATTCCATCCTGCCAAATTCCAATTTGACACCCACCCTCACTGATTTGAATGATAATTCAGATATATTAACTCAAGTTAAAAAAAATTTTACCCGGAACTAGGTAATATGACCTCGAAGTCAGATAGTAAATATTTGGACTCGCCTATGTAAAACAAATATTTATTGAACTTGAGCTTCCAGAATGTATTCATTTGTCCTTCAGTTGATGCTTAACAGATTATATCATAAGTGTTAGCATTCTTAGTTTTAATCATGGATCAAATAATCGTAAAACAAAAAAATAATATTTTCTCAAAATTCTGATACTCACATCGGAAATTATTTGCGGATAAAACCTCTCTCCAAATATTCAAAAATAATCATACATTCCTGAAAAAAAGATGAAATTTTCTATCAAATTATGAAATTAAATAATATTTTTGTTTTAAAAACAGAACAAATATATTTTTAAAAATACATTTTTGACTTTTGTTTGTGTCCACATTGTTCTATAATATTTGTACAAACCAAGCCATGTTCCTAATTTAGTTTCCTTTTAAGTTCGAGACTTTCTCCTCACTCAGGTTGCCTTTGAATTCCATCAATTTATTTTTAGGTCTTAAATTTAGAATGTGTTGCAAAATCTGTTTACGCTTATCAATGAGAGACTTTCCTAAATGCTGTCATTCAGGGTTGCCCATCCCTCCCAAAGGTCGGTGGCGCATGAATCTCTTCCCCTCCTTCCAACATATTTTATTGCTCTCTTCTTCTTAATAACAGTGCAAGATAAAATATAATTTTTTTTTTATTTCTTAATGACATTTACAACTGTATTAAATAAATACATCTAGTAAATTTGGACATAATAGATATAATGACATGAATGCACTTGCTGAGTAACTACCCAATGGTAGCACTCTAAAAAATATAATTTTAAAAATCATTCTCTCCGAAAATGTCACTTATCATGTTTATGATAAGTTTGATCGTTCAATTATTGAATGATATAGATTAAAAAAAAATGATCGATTGATTTGAAAATTCTTGCCTATTTACTGAGATGAGGATAAATGAAACAATTCTTTTTTGGTCTGTTTTTCAAACAAAAATGAGGGGGAAACATCTTGTGACGAACCTGTGCAGCTCACTTTGTTTCTTTTTTTGAATAACTTACGGATTACAATGGAGTAGTTTATTTCCAACGTGAACCCTAACCACTATTGAAAATTTTTCAAGAAAAACTATTTTGTATATTTTCTATTCCAATTGTATCAAAACCATTATTAAAAAAATAATGAAATTCTTTAGTTCTATCCCTTTTTATAAAATCCCAGACTATTTCAATAGTAATTAAAATATTGAAAATGCTCATTTTGGAAAGAATATCGAATAACAAGATTGATAGGGGTTCAGTACAGAGATAAAAATGGTGTATGATCCGAGGGAAGAGGGGGAGTTATAAACATTATGCTAAAAATAACTTTTTGTTTACAATAATGACATAATAAAATTAATTTATTTTATTTTAACTTAATTTATTCACCTAAACTTGTCAGAAGTACTGATAATCAATGAATCTGTTATCGAGCAGAATACTGGTAGTAGCTTGTTCGGCGTGAGGGAGAGGAGTGTCCCGCGGCATTCTTTCCTATCCTATGTTTAGTATTCAGACTTCCCTCATCCAGCTTCGTTCGCGCTTCCTAGTTGCCATATCTTGCATGAGTGTGTTAATATGTCCATCTAAGTTACCGCGAAATCTTTTAAAGTCTGTCCGTGTGTTGACGTTAATTGTTGCCATGCGTAGGTCTTCATGAAAAGTAATATCTGTGACGTACCATGAAGGTTTAGTTATAGTCCTGAATTTTTTTGACTGAAAAGTTTGTAATTTCCATATGTGGGTCGTTTGGGCTTTTCCGTTGTCAGGGAAACGTACGTCCATTATAGGCTCAAGTAGATAAATGGAAGTTAAATTTCTGTTTTGACGAATATTTAAAAAATGCATGTTATATTCCTTGAAACAAAAGGACAGTTTCAGATAAACTTATTTTCATTTAATAAACTTAATATTAGGGATTCTTTTTAGAAAAAAAAATGCATCATTGGAATTTTGGTTGTTTTTACATAGAAATCGATACTTATCTTGATTTCTGAAAAAATCGATTAGGAATCACATTGGAACTACGCGACTCAATCGTATTTCACTTCTTAATTTCCCATTTGAGTACTTACCCATTAGCTCAGTTGGAAATCGATTACAATATAATTGAAGCCCCTAGAAGACTTTAATGTTAGACCCTCGGACGGGAGGGTGGCGTCAGAGAGGAAGAAGTACAACAGAAGGGGCGTGGTGGGTTTTCACAAGAGCAGGAGGACCGTCGGAGGACAAAGAGGTACGGTAGGGGAAGTACTTATTGCCAACTGCCATCCCAACATTTATCAGTCAAGGTTTGGGATTCATACTGTTCGTCGAAGTCCAGTGCTGGTGAGTCTTACTGTCTATCGTCAATCGTCATCCGTTGAGTATTATTAATAATTTTTTCATTTTTTTTATTTTTTGTTAAAGCTTACTATTAAACCAACGAAAAACATTCGATGAATTTTTATTATTAAATATCGTAGATTTATTACTAAAAGTCATTAAGTGAATTTTTAATGTAGGTTAGTTGTTAATTCTGCTAATTGAATTTGAAAAAGCGCTGTAAATGCATCAAAATTACACAAACTTTTTTATATAGCATATACTGGTAAGCAAAGTGCATATTATTTTGATTTCACAGAGGGGAAATTGATCGAAGTATAGTGATTTAATTTTATGGAGTGTTACTTAATGATTTTTTACTATAAACATATGATATATTGAGAGAAATTGTAATGATTATTTAATAATTTCAAATAGTAAGTTTTTTTAATTGAGTCCTGGGTAAAAATCATTATTAAACTTACAGATATAATATATAAAGCAGGCAAAAGCAGTTATATAATATTTTTCGAAGTTATTAAAACAATGCTGTTACAAACAACCAAAGGTACAAAACATCCCTATAAACAAAAATAATTCTTAGAAAGTTCTAAGGTATGGACAAGACAATATTAAACAACCTTAGCTAAAATCAAATACGCATTTTACAGTTTTTACTAGAATTTTTATCGTAAGAATATTTTAAATGAAAATAATTCAATATTTATGTTTTTTTTCTTTGATTAATTGCTTTCTGAAATCATTAACGAACAAACCACGTGTGGCTTAAATGTTTGAATAATACAGTCTGAAGAGGGAAGTGTTGGCTAAACCAGATTTTCGTTTGCTTTGTGTTTTATGTAATGAAAAAAAAGTGTATAAAATTTTATAAGTGGTATACAGTTTTTAAATGAATATAATGGAATTAGGAATATTACTTGTCATAAATTTAGATTAACTCTAATCAATATTTAATAATTTTGTATACAATTTTATTGATCACATTTAAAAGGAATATTGTTTACTGTGATGAACTGACGTAATTGAATAATAAGAAAAATAATATTCCTCCATCAAAATATATGATCTTACGCATAATTTTATCAAGAATCCAAAAATCATATAAATTAATAATCCCTACTGTTTTTAGACTGATTGTGAGTAGTAACTACACAGGTCTCTTCAGTATGATCTTTGGAACTTGACATTTCTATCTGCTTTTTTTTTTTATTTAAAAAGTTCTACATGTCTGTATTTCGGGTAATATTGCGTACACTGTACGAATCGGAAACACAGAGATATGCTGCTCGTAGATGGGTACTGTAATAGCAGCTTTCATTAAACTTCCTGAAAGATCCTTCTTTCATCGGCTTTGGTCGATTTAAATGCTGTTCAAAATGAAGATTTTGTCTGCATTAAGATGGTGGGCTTATAATTTAATTATCTTGAAAATATTTTTTGAGCAAATTTCTTCTTATTAAATAAAAAAACGTGACCACCTTAAGGCAGATACAAAATTGATCCTAACTCCTTTTCTGTTCGTAACCCGCTCACGCATCATAAGAACTTTTTTGTTGGAAATTTATATAACATTATATCAGCTATGGAAGTATGGATGGCATGCCACTGCACCATGGAGACCATGGTTTGTAGCAACGTGAGGTCACTTCGCGAGGCCAAACATCCAAATCATCTATAACACCAACAGAATATATATATATACATAGCTACCATATATTTAACAATAGCTATATTATTACCTACTTCAGCTTACATTTTTAATAGCTAACAGTGTGCCTTTATTAAATTTAATTCATAAATTACTAGTTGGCCCGTGCGAATAATTTGCATAGTATATTGGTCAGTAAGCAATTGATAATATACTATAAAAATAAGTTTGTGCAATGTATTATGAAATAGAGGGAATAATATTATTTTTCTCAGATGAATCAAATTCGGCAATTGACAATAATAAACAAAAATATGTGTACATTGTGATAGACTATAATATTGCTAATAATTTTCCGATATCGATATTTTTTTATATGGCGGAAATCAGGTAGTTTTCAAAATAATCATTACTGCAATCAAAAAAATATATTTTTGAGTTATTCGCAAAAAAATTTCTTTTCATTCATATTTTTTACCCAGAAATTTTGGGAGGATGTGACTCTAATTCGTCGCTTCTCAATGAAATCTCCTTTCTTTTGAAACCTCTAGTTCATTCAAATTCATTAAAATCAAGTTAAAGTTCATTCATTAAAATACATCGCTCTTAAGAGCCGGAAAATGGATCTACACCATCGTATAGTATATAAAAATTATTAAAAAGTGGTCATGAATGAGGCGTTATTTCAAAAATGAAAAGTGAAATTTCAAATGTATCCACCTATATTGGGCGTCAAAAGGATTTTGAAACATCCTCTGCCTTACGGTATCATTTTATGCGGAATCTATAATAAATGTTTTAGTAAAGATAGTGCCATTTCTATTATCGCTTCTATCGATAGTGAGAGATATCGATACTATTGCCAACGTTACTGGGAGGGGGGGAGGGGAGATATCGATATAGAGGAGGCAGAGGATAAAGGAGACGAAACGAATCGTATTAGGAGGACTCTCGCCTTTCCTGGCGGCCTTGCCAGTGAAAGTCTTAGCCGAGTAATTCGCTCTCACTTGTTCGCTCGGTTCGCGCCTGGTCCCCTTCCTCGTTAGCCGTTCATAAATGCAAAGCTAAGCACACACTTATCTATGCAACTCGATATTAATCAAGACCACACCATAGACCCATATCGCCATCGGGGAATCTCCTACTCAACGCTGAATTAGAAGATTTCTCTGTTTAAGTTCCTACACTGATCGATGGCATCGTAAATCCATCTGACTGTATCCAAACAAATGGATGGAAACAATCTGGCCTTCTCTTTAGTCAAAGGTTAAATATCTCAATGATGATCAAGTGGTTCCATTGGTAGTTCGGGTAGATAGATAGATAGAATAGAAGAATCATATGTGTCAATATATCAATAAAACCTTCATGATGTGATTGGTTAATTTGACATTTACTTGGCATCGGTTTAACAGTTGTTTTAATCTTATGGATTACTTCTCTGAAAGATCCAAAAGATGGATTAAAATACAAAGCCATTTAACACCTGAAGCCAATTTGTTTTCGAGGTTTTGGTTTAGTATTGATCCGTGAACAGCAAGTAAACTCAATATATTTCCATCAGATCCATGTTACTTGTTTATCTAAGTGGTTTATCAGCTCCTGACATTCTAACTATTTATATGAATCAAATATTTTTCGTATTTCAAAGTGCATTGTTGTTGGATTCCACCAATGAAATAAGTGATTAGTTTAGAACTTTACCTCTGAGGTCCTTTTTAATATATTTAATATTCCTTGTTTTCAATTTTTATTTATTTTTAAATAAATTTGTTTTGATATTTCTGATATATAGCGTTTAAACTTATATCCTTTTCTGATTATTTAGATTTCTTATATCAAAACATTGAATATATAGAAACAGAAAATGTATGGTAGAAATTCCTGTTTTTTTTTTTTCGACGGGGTAATGATATACCATTGTTTTTAAAAATTGTTGTGTTGAGGAAAAAAACATTATGGGATTTCATAGGGGCATTCGATCCTTTGAATATTGTTATCTGTTTGTGATACACCCTTTATATTTAATATATATTACAAAATATTATACGAAATAAATAAGTATTTAAATGCAAAATACCATGAAACGTTGTCTAACTGATTAAAAACACATTTCCTTTGAAAATTAGACTTTGCGAAAAAACAACTTAAAATAGGCCCTTTTAAAATAATATTTTCCTTCTTGGTAGTATCGTCTCATTGTTGGTGTTTATGGCGCAAAAATAGAAACACTTTCAAAATGACAACTGATATAGTGATCATTTTACCAAATGTACTTTATTCATTTAAAAAAAATAAAATATTAATTTAATAAAATATTAATCAATTTCAATTATTAAATGAATAAAAACAAATCTAGCTAACGAATTAAAAAAATATACAATAACCGCTTAAAAAAACTAAAATTTAAGTTTTTGATTCCGGTCAATATAATTGAATTAACACAAATCGTTTGATAGAATCAATTTCAAGTTCATTAATAGTTGTAGGGGTTCCCAGAAGGGGGTTCTATCGCAAGTTGCACCGTTATATTTCTTGAGGGGGCCATATTTTGACTTTTTTTTTAATTTTTGAGGGGAGCACATTTCGACAGGGTTATAAATGTTCGGAATGAAATGTTTCAGAATAAGAGACAAGGGGAAACATGGACAAATAATAGACCGCAGCAAGTGTAATTGTATATGATCAACGATTTTTCTAATTCTACCATCGCTTGCTATGTTTTTTAAAAAAAGGTGAGCAATAAAATATCTTGGGAGGGATGGGGTAGGTTTTTACGCCATCGTATTTGGGGGGAGGGAGAGAGAGATGGACACCCCTGAATAGTTGCACTGTTGCAGCTGATTAGGTTGATTTTGTGCGAAAGTTCACTGACAGGCATGTACACGTTACAAAAAACATAAAATACAAAGTTAAATTATAAAGTGGGACAGCCCTATCAAGACTGTAAATGTCATAGTCACTCAGGTTATACCACTGTCATGGCTTCGATAAATGCTGCCATGGCTGTTGCAACTGTTACAATAACCGACACAGTGTAAATAAGGCTTAATGCTAACGGTAAGACGCTGAACGAGGACGCCAAGCTGCCGCGATAGTGTGGGCCTACAACTGTAGTGAAAGGGTCCTCGTGGCATGTTATTAGTCTGTGTAGAAAACAGAAAGTGGTTATCTCGACTAAAACACTATTAATCCTAACCCATTTTATCCTTACGAGATTTGTTAATATCAAGACATAATTTAATAGACTATATCTGTGTAAAAAAATTTCAAGTAAAGAGGTGAGTTAAATCATTTAAATATATGTGGCTTCAGGTGTATCGTTCTTTTTAGGTGTGGAGAAAAACCTTATCGT